AAGGTGGCCCTGTCATCCCTTCTCCGGGCAGCACTTCCCAGATGGGCAGTGTCATTTTCCCTCTAGACATTCCTGCAACACCTCTCTTACTTGTCTGACTTCCTAGGTAGCTGATAAAGCTAAAGAGAGTGGAAATCTATTCAATTCTACTTTTCTGTGTTAGTTTTCTGTCAGTTTAGTGAAGTTAATTTGTTCACTGATGAAGAGCTGTGCCAGTGCAAAAGGTGGAATAGAGGCAGGGCTATAGGCTTCCACCTTTTGTATGGAAAAAAGTTGTCTTATTAACAGAACCATCTGAAAGAACCACTGCCCAAGACAGATATACCTGAAAGCATTACTATTACTTACAGATGAGCTACAAAATTATATTAGTACACCTTTATGTCCCTGCACAAGCCTGCGAGAGATCATAATGTAAAATATCCAACACATTCAGAGAAAAGATACCAAAAGGATATCTGAAAATAACAATCAGAAACCACCTGAAGCAGTTCTTTTCAAGTCATCTCAAGCAACTCCAGCAGAAGAGGAAAAAAGAAGGCACAATAAAAAGGTGTATTCAGTGCATCTTGATTCTGTATGTTTTTAATTTAGGAAATGTCAAATTCTCCATATAAACATATTTTTTAAAAAACTAACTAGCTTTCAAATTACTTAATTCTGCATGTTATACACTAATGTAGAACATAGAGACAAAGAGGTTTTCCAGCCCATATACTTAAGTCTTAACCCCCTCTCCCCCAAATAAAAACAAATCAGTAGCCAGTCATCCTTGTATCAATCCTCTGTAGATCTCCCTTCACCTCATATTCTTCCATGTCCAAATCATTTGACCACTCAAATGGCCTTGCATCCTCTATGCACCCTACTGCTGGTTCTCCCTATCACATCCTTCTCCTCTTTGATAAGGAAATTAAGCTTATCTATAAAGGTAATCAAAACTTTTCAACATAGCCACCATACAGGTCCACTTCTTGTGTCTTATTTCCAAAAGCCTAGTCACTGTCTGTTGTTGTTAGAGAGCACATATCTTTAGTTCAGTATTTATTTCCATAACATAAGTCTATATAAATTTGTTAATTCTATGTGTTGTTCTAACTACACTGATACTAAATTACTCATGTCAGGTACAATTTTGGCATACATTTAACAACATAGCAGACAAATTCTGACTTGATTTTTAAAAGATTAATTACTTGAGCATAACTGCCCTGGTTATAAGTCACTGTAACATTGGCAGGAAGAAGGGAAGGGACTGATTTGTCAAAATCAAATGCAGTTATGGTAATTAAAAATACCCTACATTAATTTTGTAACCTTCCAGATTAGCTTACAGTCTTCATTAAAAACACATTTAGGGAAATTATTCATTTAGTTCATGATAGTAGGGGATCTCCTTATTTGCCCTTTACACTGGCTCGCTGCAGACAGGAAGAAGGTTGAGCAAGGGTGGGGAGAGTATGGTCACTTGGTCAGTTTGGGCTTTGAGGATCAGAAGAAAATATGTGGTAAGAACATCCCAGGGATGAAGCTTGGAACACTATGAAAAAGAGAGGACGCAGGTGTTAGGTCTACAGCTATTTTGTGGGAATGGCAAAGTGATCTTGGGCTGCTTTGACATTATCTTGATAAAAAGAGATATAGATATATATGGAAAAGAGATAGCTAGAAAACTGATTGGGATTCAACTGAGCAGGGAACCACAGGAACTGAAACAGAGAAAAAGGAAAATTCATATGGTATAAATTAAGTGCCAGGAAAATACTGTCCAGTGTAGACATCACAGGTATGACTTTTGGGCAGAAATTTGGACAGTCTTAGGGGAAAAGTGAAGGAAATTCTAGGAATTCACTATCTAGGAAA